GCACCTGCTTAGTTTTCACGAGCACCACCGACTCGGGCATGAATTTCGGGATCCCTCAGGAACAGAGACTTCGCCTAGTGGACCATTCAGGCCTCTTGCTGTTTCTTCCTCCCCTTATCCTTTAGGTCAAGCCCACGTTCATTAGCGCGTCTGTTAGAAGAAAGTAGTCAAGTTGGGAGGAGAAGGCAAATAAGTTTCAGTTTTGCTGCTTAGCACCTGGTTCAGCTGAATGTCTCAAATAAGGTTTAGGGCAAGGAGTCTCATCTACGTGACTAGGTCCCATTTCTAGAGGTTACTACCTCCGGGGGATTGGAAGTAAGCCCAGCCCAAATACGCTGAAAAAGCTTCTGGGTGAGTCTCGTGCATCACTGAGTACTCGGCAGCTTCGTGGGTGAGCACGACTAATTTAAAGGATTCTCTCCAGCTTCCAATTCTCCGTCTATACTATATCGTGCCTTCCATAAGTAGAGAAAGTCAAGAAGGGACATCTATACAGTAAATCCAAGCAGGTGTCTGCGTGCCCTGGGGATATTGGATAATCAGCTGGTATCTTCCTTTCAAAAGGCTTGAGGCAAAGTGTTTGGGATGTAGGGCGAAAGTCGGGAGCCATGGATTCTAGCTGCAGCCTCACTGCTAACTAGCTGTGTGATCTGGGCAGAGACTACAGCTGCAGTGCCCAGCCTCCCTCTCTGTGTATAAAATCGTGCTGCTGAAACCTGCTTTTCCTCTTCTCCAGAGCTCAGCCGAGGTAGTGTTTATAGATGTGAACGTCTTTGAAGAGTATTGAAGAGTGCTGTGTGAGGTGATCTTGCTGGAATTCTCATGATTTGCCAGGTTCGCCAAACCTAATAGCCACTTGTGGGGAAAAAGGCACATGGGTCCTGAGTGTGGAAATAGCTGGCAGCCCAAGGCTGTGCTGATCTCAGCTGTGCAGACAGCCTGCCAGGGGCCGGAGCAGGCCACACAGGCCTCATCCACAGCCTCAGTTTCCTCAGAAGTTGGGAATGAAGCATCTGTGAAGAGGTGCTCCTGAACCCCTAACTCTTTACCTCAACCTCTGTCCCCACGCAGTCTGGGAAGTGGAACTTCCACGTCAGATGCTTCCCTGATTACCTGCCCTGTGGACTGTGGTAGACTGCTGTGTTTTAGGTTCTTGTTTGCTTGCTTGCTTGCTTTTAATCTGTCACCAATAGTTTAAGAATACACGCAGGGCTGAGCACAGTGGCTCATGCCTATAATCCCAGTGCTTTGGGAGGTGAAAGCAGGAGAATCACTTGAAGCCAGGAGTTTAAGAGCAGCCTGGACAACATAGTGAGGGCCTGTTTCTACAATAAATAGAAAAAAAAAAATCGCCAGGCACAGTGGCATGCACGTGTAGTCCCAGCTACTCAGGAGGCTGAGGTGGGAGGATAACATGAGCCCAGGCGTTTGAGGCTGAAGCGAGCCATGCTCCCAACACTGCACTTCACTGTGGGCCAAAGAGTGAGACCCTGTCTCTAAAAAAATAAAAAATAAAAAATAAAAATATGCTCCATGACTGGGTATGTGTATATATAAAACAGAAAACAAGTCGTCTGCCTAATACCTATCCTTACTATTTTCCCACACTGTGTTTTCTATGCTATTAAAAAAGAAAGATGAAAGAAAAATTTTAAAAGGAAGGAAAAGCTGGCGGTGATCTCCTAAACTGGTTTCATGGCTCACCTAGTGGATCATGACCTGAAGTTTAAAAAACATCGTGCTAGATTCTGTGTCTTTTGCTGGGCTCTGTGTCACTGCACTAGCCTGGGGTGCCTTTGAGGACCAGGCAGATAAAGTAAATCTGTAAGTGAGGTTTTATTTCAGAATGGCACTTTCAGTCATATTCCTGAGATACATACACGAATTATTTGCATATTCACATTTCTATAAAGAAATATACTCTGCCAGTTTTCCTAAAACACGCTCCCCACTTTGACTTTTGTTGGGAGGAGAAGGAAAATAAGTTTCAGTTTTGCGGCTTAGCAACTGGAGTATTTAGCTGAATGTCTCAAGGCTTAGGGCAGGGAGTCTCATCTACGTGACTAGGTCCCATTTCTAGAAGTTTCCACCTCAGGGGGATTAGAAGTAAGCCCAGACCGTGTACATTGAAAAAGCTTCTGGGATGAGTCTTGTGCACCACTGAGTACTCGACAGCTTCATGGCTGAGCACGGCTAATTTAAAGGGATTCTTTCATTACATTCGATAGCTGCATAGCTACAGGACACACTTTGCCAGACTCCTCACTCCTACTGGAAAACCAGCAGCGCGGATTCCATGATTCAGGACTGGCTCTGGACCCCCAGTGTTCGGGAGCAACGCGGGGTTGGGGGAGCTTGGGTTCATCCGGTGCACAGCCAGTATTGTCAGTTTAAAAAGTTAAACTAGAAAGTTAGAGTCCAGAAATTTGGATTTTTATACAGAATCTCCCCATTTTGGCAGCGGATTTACATTAAAACAGAACAAAACAAAAAATAGACGGCAGCATGGTTTAGACCAAACTCGTCTGCAGGCTAGCTGAGGCTGGGAAGTAGCCAGTGTCCGTCTGTGACCCAGATCAGAGGCAGGGTGCACCCTCCCACTCAGTGCTCTCCCAGAACCTGTTATTTCTGGAGAGAGAGAGAACACGCCACCTGAGGGCATCCCTGCTGCCCATCCTTGAGGACTCCATTGGATCTTTCTCCTTCCTCCGCTGGGAGAAAAGAGAGGGGGGAGAGTCCTTGGGCTCCCCCTAGAGGGAGAGAGAGCAGGATGTGGGCTCAGCAGCAATTAAGCTGAATATTAAACTCATCCCCCTTTTGGATGTTGAGTGGATAAATGGCAATTAATCAGCCTCCCCCCAAAGATTAGCATTATCGTTATTGTTTCCTTCAGACAGAATAGCCGCTGGTTTTGCCACCGCACATTGTGTAGGGGAGGAATGATTCGGTCATAACTCCTGAGGGTGTTTGGAGATGAATGTGTCTCTTATGTACACAGCAAAGGCTCCAGCTTGTTTTCCTAGCCCCTTTAATCCCAGGATTCTTCCCTTATCCCTCTTTTCATCCAAGCACTTCTACCCTTGGTGACATTAGCTGTGTCATTTGGACAGTGTGGGTACAGAGTTTAACTTCATGAGGACAATTAGAGGCATTGGTCCTCGGGAATGGGGTGAGCTGGGAAGACAGCTTCTCTCCTGTCATACAGACAGAAGGTAGCTTTGGTGGCTACTGGGTGCTCTTCCTTTAGGATTCCCTTGACTTAGAACAGGCATTGCAAGTCTATAGCATCCAGCAACACCAGGCTGAGGACGCCCTGGGCACCCTGCAGTGCTTTCCCTTTGGTGCCCTCCCACTGCCCATTCTGTTCCCTTCTGCCCTCCTAACCGTCATTGCTGAGTCTCCTTTATCTCTCTTCAAGGGTCGAAAACTGCAGCCTGGGAGACTCCCTTAGAGTTGTTATACCCTGTTCTTCCAGCTTGACCTACCCACTTGCCTACTTCACTTCAGCCGTCATTCTTTCTTTTTAAAAATAGTACAGTTGTTAGAGAATTAAGTTCCATGGAAAACAGTCTATTTAAACTTTGCCTTACTTTTAAAAATTATTTAACAATTTTTAATTTTATTTCATTAATGTTTTCTGAGACAGAATCTCACTCTGTCACCCAGGCTGGAGTGCAGTAGCATGATCTCTGCTCACCACAACCTCCACCTTCTGTGTTCAAGAAGTTCTCCTGTCTCGGCCTCTGAGTAGCTGGGATTACAGGTGCCTGCCACCATACCCAGCTCATTTTTGTATTTTTAATAGAGATGGGGGGGCACCATGTTGGTCAGGCTGGTCTCGAACTCTGGACCTCAAGTGATCCACCCACCTTGGCCTCCCAAAGTGCTAGGATTACAGGTGTGAGCCACTGTGCCTGGCCAAATTTTTTATTTTTTAATTGACAAAAAATTAATGTGGAATTATACTTTTGGCAGGGGAGTTATTTGTGTTTTGCAGGAATTGCTGGTTGGCTCTGAGAAACTAGTTCTTATTCTTACTGGGGAGGCTCGTGGCCCCGTGTCAAGGCCTACTTCCTGCCTCCCGACCATTTGCCACTCTTTGCCCCCACCCTTTGCTCTTGCTCATCATGGTGCTAGATTTCTGACTTAAAATAATTCATTTAAAACAAACAGAAAACCCACAATAACAGAATTGTGGAAGTTTTCAGACATAAAAAAATGTAATCACCATGTATTCAATATTCAACTAATAATCATCAATATTTCACCAGTCTTAGTAGAAAACTTCATATCAGTGTTTCTCAAAGTGTGAGTAGTGACCTACTTAGATTAGAATTTTAAAATGCATATTCCTGGGCTCTGCCTCCCCCAGACCAGCTGATTCAGAAATCTCCCCGCCAAGCCCACTGATGTGCTATCTAACAGGCTCCACGGATGGTTGTGATGCACACTAGCATGTGAGAACCACTGCCGTAGATACGCGTGTGTGTCAGCCCGGCCTGGCACTACTCACCCAACATTTCTCGTCCTTCGTGTGAAGGACACAGAAAAGCAGTTCCTAAGGCTGAAGCCTGAATGCGAGTCTAGGACATCGCTTTTTGTGTGTTGGAAGCTGCAGGTGCTGACAGCTAACGGCACCAAGTAAGACCCCGGGCCTTAGTCCTAAGAAAACGCTCTATATATCAGTCAGTTAATTGCTGAAAGAAAAGCAATCACCTGTATCTATTTGAATTTTAAGCTTCTCACTCAACCTGCGCTTAAACTCTCAACAATTCAATTTGGAGTTAGGCCGATGCAAAGCTGTAAGAAGGCACTGCAGCATCTTTAGCGCTCTCATGCTGGCTGTGGACCTTTCCTCTAAAGAGGACTGCAGACAAATAAAGCACTTGAGATGCACTCATTTGCCTCCGCTTTTGAACCCCCCCCCCCTTAAGATAGTACCCCAGTGCATGAGACCAGTGGGCTCTCAAAAACCTTTTCTTTTCTTTTCTCTTTTTCAGATTTAGGAGGAAAGCTGCTGAAGAAATAGAAGAGTACGTTTCTGGTATTCTTACGGTACCCCACGCTGATCTTGGTCAGCAGTGCAGTCATAGTGGCACTTTATCTGTTCCACCTATGTCGAACACAGTCTTAGAAGTCTAGGCTAGAGTTGTTTATGCCTGACGAATCCAAGGTTTGGTTAATCCTGCTTCCTCAGCTGAAGGTCTGGACTCTGCCATTGATGCCCATGTCCTGTCACCCACTGTGTGGTTTTTAGAGTCATACATCCAGATATCAGGGTACCTGGCCCATGCCTCCTGCATTATTGATATAGATGGGCAGAAGCAATACCAGCTTCTAAGCCTAGCCTTCTCATAAGACTTGAATCAGAAAAGAAAGAAGTTTTCTAGATAAAGGTGGCTGTGAAGGCAGGGCCACCCAGTGTCCCACTCCCCGGAGCAGAGGGAGCATTCATGTCATAGTCTGTGTGCTGCTGTCCTCTGGAATAGCACATTGCACAGCCTGTGCAACCACACACGGCACACCCAGTGGCCTAATTAGGTTTGACCAAGTTGAAAGAGAAAAGCAGGTCCAGGGATGTTTTCATCTAGGAGAAAGAATGGATACAATAAACATTTGGGATGCTCCTTTCTGTGTTTGAAACTCATTTTCTGCTCTCCTTTTCTTCTTTTTTGGGGGCAGTTTTCGCCTCAGACAGCAGAGCCCGAATGGATCAGATTGCGGAGGAGGTAAGAGCCCTGGGAGGAAGCCAAAAGGTCTTCTAGAGAGGCCCCAGGACGTTTCTGGGGCTACAGCTAAGACACTGCTGACTGCCGCATTACTGAAGACATTTGCAGTGGTCTCCCGACGCACACTGACGCACATCTCCACGCCTTGCTGAATGCTGCCACCTCTGTCCAGAGAATCTCTCCCTTCTGTATCTGCTAACACTGCCTATCCTTCAAAAGGTCAGCAGAAGCATTCCTTCCCCGGAAACGTCTTCCCTTCCCATCCCACGCCCTCTCTGACCGGATGTTCTTTCTCCATGCTCCTCTAACCTCCTTGGCAAACCAACACTGTAGTAACAACCCGGCTAACAAATGTTTACTAGGTGCTGACTCTATCCCAGGCACTGTCCTTCCACTTCACACACGTTAAAGCATTTCTCCCCACAACCCCGTAGTATTACTGTTATCCCCATTCTACAGTTGTGGAAGCGGAGGCACGGAGAGGTTAAGTAAGTTGCCCAAGGTCAGAGTTGCTAAGTGACTAGAGCTAGGGTTTGAGCACAGTTAGGACATTCTGTGCTTTAACTCTTTGTTGGTTTGATTGTTTTCCCACCAGACTCTAAGCTCCCTAACGGCAGACAACACGTGTTATTTATCTTTGCATCTCCAGTGCCCAACGCAGAGTAGTTAGTTAATGGCTAGATAACTAGGCCATGAACATAAACTCAGGGAAAACAGTACTAAAAAGGCAAGTAGCTGTGGCAGAGTAGAAGCCTGTGTTCAAACATCAGGAGACAAGGTGAAGTTTGTGTGTGTCTCTAAAATGAAGCCCTCTAGGGAGAAGATTATGCTTGGGACCCAAATTATTATTGTTGTTGTTATTATTTTGAGGCAGGGTCTCCGTCTGTCACCCAGGCTGGAGTACAGTGGCACAATCTTGACTCACTGCAACCTCCACCTCCCAGGTTAAAGCGATTCTCCTGCCTCAGACCCCTGAGTAGCTGGGATTACAGGTGTCTGCCACCACGCCGGGCTAATTTTTGTATTTTAGTAGACATGGGGTTTCACCATGTCGGCCAGGCTGGTCTTGAACTCCTGACCTCAAGTGATTCTCCCTCCTCGGCCTCCCAAAGTGCTGGGATTATAGGCGTGAGCCACAGTGCCTGGCCCCAAATTATTAAAGCCTTTTTTTTAGACATGCTTATTTGTATCATTTCCACACTCCTTGTTTGTTTGTGTAGATCCTAGTTTCTATCTGGTGTCGGTTTCCTTCAGCCTGAAAAACTTCATAATTATTTTGTGGAACAGGTGGTCTGGCAAGAAAGTCTGTCTGCTTTATTTGTCTGAAAATGTCATCCTCAGCTTTTTACCAGACATGGAATTCTAGACTGACAATTTTTTCTTTTAGCATTTTAAATAGTTATTTTACTGCCTTTGGCCTAGCCAATATTTCTTTAAGTATATTTTGTCTTTGGCCTGCTGCCCTCCCCTCCCCTGCCCTCCCCTGCCCTCCCTTCCCCTCCCCACAGGGTCTCACTCCATCATGCAGGCTGGAGTGCAATGCTGCAATCTCGTCTCACTGCAACCTCTACCTTGTGGGTTCAAGTAATTCTCCTGGCTCAGGCTCCTGAGTAGCTGGGATTACAGGTGCCCACCACCACACCTGGCTAATTTTTGTATATTTGGTAGAGATGAGGTTTCACCATGTTGGCCAGGCTGGTCTCAAACTCCTGACCTCAAGTGATCCACCCACCTGTAATAGGCATAAGCCATCCTGCCCGGCCTACGTTGTTTCTGATGAGAAGACAGTCGTTGTTCTTATCTTTATTCCCCTATATGTAATGTATCTTTCCTCCTATCTGCTTTTAAGATTTCTTCTCCGTTATCAGTTATTTTCAGCAATTTGGTCATCATGTGCCTTGGTGTGGTTTTCTTTGTGTTTATCCTACTTGAACTTCTTAAGTCCATGGGTTTATAGTTTTTGTCAGATTCAGAAAATTTTAGCCAATATTTCTTTAAGTATATTTTTCTTCACTCCCACTCCTTCTGGGACTCTGATTACAATTTTGCATGTCCAAACACTTGTCTCCACAGGTCACTGAGGAGACAAGTTTTTCAGTCTACTATTTTTCTCAGTGCTTCAACCTGGGTACTTTCTCCTGCTGTGTAACTGGTCTTTTCTACAATGTCCAGTTTGCTGTTAAGCCCATCTAGTGAATTATTATTTTATATATATTTTTCAGTTCTAGAAGCTCCATTTAGTTCTTTTTTACAGTATTCCATTATCTTCTTATTCTGTTATGTTTTCTTTTATCTTTGATAGTAGCCTTTATATAGACTGAGTATCCCTCAAATGCTTAGGAACAGAAGTGTTTCAGATTTCAGATTTTTTTCAGATTTTGGAATATTTGCATTATGCTTGTCTAGTCGAGCATCCCAAATCCCAGAATCAAAACCTGAAATGCTCCAGTGAACATTGTCTTTGAGCATCATGTCAGTGCTCAAAAAGTCTTGGATTTTAGAGCATTTTGGATTCTCAGATTAGAGTGCTCAGCCTGTATTAACTGTTTCCATGTTCTTTTGCTGCTGATTCCATTATATCTGTCTTTTCTGAGTCTGTTTCTAAAACTGATTTTTCTTCTGGTTACAAGTCATGTTTTTCTGCTTCTTCACATGATTAGTAAGTTTTGATTGGATGCTGGACGTTGTGAATATAGTTATGTTGAATCTGGATCTTGTCTTCCTTTAAAGAATGACATATAGATACTCTTCAACTTACAGTGAGGTTACAGCTGGATCAACCCATTGTGAGTTGAAAATATTGTAACATAAATAGAAATATCGTAATGCATAACCCACCCTTAAGTCAAGGACCATACTGAACATGTATTGCTTTTGCACCATCATAAAATTGAAAATACATTATGTCAAACCATTGTATATTGAGGAACATCTGCATTTGTTTTGGTAAGCAGTTGATGTATTTTTTTCAATCACTTTGATCGGTTTGAGAATTGCTTTTAAGCTTTATTAGGGCAGGTCTAGAGTTAGCCCTAAACACTAATGCCTGGTTGATCGATGAGATCTCTGTACTGTGGCTGAGTGGAGCTGAGTCTCCTCCAGTTCTGTGTAAGTGCTGGGGATGGTTCAGCTCACACCTTGTCAGTAGTAATTGAAATACATAATGCAGTCTACGGCCATACCACCCTGAATGTGCCGGATCTCGTCTGAAATATTATAATGCGTAACCCCCTCTAAGTCAAGGGGGTTGTGCCCAAGTCTGCTCAGGCTTATGGAGTTTCACCCTGCAGAGGCATAGCTCAGTATCCAGTCAGTCTGGACTTCTAGAGATTTTCCTCTCCATAGCACCCCAGTCTTTTCAGACTTCACTTCTAAAATTTCAGCCATTTAAGCCTCACTAAACTTCAGTCTCTCCTCAACTCAGTGAGACCTCCACGCTCTGTGTAGGGCTTCCCCAAGCTGTGCCAGAGTCCAGGAATGACCGCTAGAGACCTAGGGCTTAATTCTGTTTTCCTGCTCTCGGGAATCAAAGTCCTAGGCTGCCCATTATCCAGTGTCTGGAAACAGTAATACCATTTATTTTTCCTCCAATTTTCTAGTTGTTTATAGCAAAAGGGCAAGTCTAGTAGTACCAGTTCCTCTCTCATGGGTGGAAATTGAGTCTCAAAGCCTTTTTTCTGTCTTTGTATGCAGTCACCTTTGTACGCGACTGCATACAAAGAGAGAAAATTAAGTGTGTAAAACTTAGATGATGATTGTCTGATAATCACACAACTAGGGAAAGGATCAAAAAGAACATCTATGAAATATTCTGGGATGGTGGTTAAAATGCACATTCCCAGGCCGTACACAAATCAGAAACTAGAGCTGAGGCTCAGGAATCTGCATGAATTTAAATAAGCTCCCAGATGAATATTTGACAACCCTGTGGGGACTGAGGATCGGAGAGGGCAGGAGTCCTGTGAAAAAGTACTTCTGCCTCCTCTCATTCCTGGCAGTGGCAGTGGGGAGGCGGTAGAGGTGAAAGAGTCGTCACTAGAGGTCAGAAAATCACTCCACACTCTTAAGATTTAGTAAGACCATACTCTCGTCATTCTCCAGCCTTTTTCTTTACGTTCTAGTATCTCTTCTTGACAGATCTTCTCCTTAGCACTGCCCACTAACTTCCTTTTAGCAGCCAGACTTCTCTACCCACTGGTAATTCCCAATGACTATATTAAATAGGAGAGCTTGCATTTCTGTTCTCAGAGTCTGTTTTCCAAGATAGGTACCTAGGATGTCTTCTCCCAGTGCTAAATTGTCAGCTCACATATTGGTGGCTGCTGGCCACACTTGCAATCTGCCTGTCCTCACAGACTACTACTTCAGCCATTGGTTGCGTAGGACAGTAAGGTGACCATCCAAGAGGATATACCCAAGGACTGAAGGAGGCAGAGTGTCTGGCAGACATTAGCAAAGTGGGTAAGTGGTTTGGGAGCAGTGCTCATGGAAATGGTAATGCTAGAGCAATGATTCTAGAGTCTCTGGTTTGAACCGGCAGGAGGGAGTGTGTTAATGAAGGCATGTGATTTGCAGTGTGGGGATCAGTCTTGAAGGTGTGCAAAAGTGAGTATAGGGCAAGTTGTTTCCTGCAGGATGTCCTTTTTGGACAGATTCAGTCCCTAGTTGCTCACGTATTGTATTTGTTCAGAGCACCAAGAGACTTGTGATTTAAGTAAGAAAGCATTAAACTCAGGAAAAAGGTTTTTAGAGTTCTTTGGCAGAAACTTCTAAATGGAAACACAAGAAAATGAATTCATAATCTATAGAAAGTTTACTGGACTCATACTCTTTTCCAGGCTTTTCTCCACCCTGCCTTGAACCTATTCCCAACTCCCTTGAAAGGACTTCTGAATTTCTGCTTTCTGTACTTTTTTCATCATGGAAATGCTACATTTCAAGGAGACACTGCTAAATGTTATGCAGAATCCTCTGAGCACTGAAGTTTACGCACGTCATAA